AGTCATCCCTGCTGGGGCCCCGTCAAAACTGTTCGAATCAGGCCCTGCACTTCCTAAACCTGGCCCTGCACATCGGGGTTACAAAATTGTATCGGGGGCCAGGTAGGGAAGGCTGTGCCTCCCAAAACAGCCTGTCCCCCCCCCCCCCACCCACCCCCCCCCCAACCCCCCCCCCCCAACCTCCCCCCCCCCAGGACCCCACCCCCTACCCAACTCGCCCCGTTCCCTGTCCCCTAAGTGCCCTGACCCCATCCACCACCACCCCGACAGACCCCCAGAACTCCCACGCCTACCCAACCCACCCCGTTCCCCGTCCCCTGACCGCCCCCCCAGAACCTCCGCCCCCTCCAACCCCTGCTCCCAACCCTGGCCCGGCCCCCTTACCATGCTGCTCAAGGCAGCGTGTATCGATGCCGCGCATGTAACGACAGAAAAACCTCCCTCTCCCAATTGCTCACCCCTTTAACAACCGGTTCTAAACCGGCTTCTAAATTTAACAAGTGGTTCGTGCGAACCGGTGCGAACCGGCTCTAGCTCAGCACCGGACACATGAAGAGAAGGGAGTTACCTTACAAGTGGAGAACCAGTGTTAACAGGGCCAATTCAATCAGGGTGGATGTGGTGAGCCAGCCACTCCCAGTACCTATTCAGGCCCAAATTAATGGTGTTAAATTTGCAAATGAATTGTAGCTCTGCAGTTTCTCTTTGAAGTCTGTTTTTGAAGTTTTTTTGTTGAAGGATGGCTACTTTTAAATCTGTTAAGATATTGTGGCAGTCAGACATTTGGAGTAAAATTCTCACTCTCAATCTAGACCGGGGTAGGCAACCTATGGCACGTGTGCCGAAGGCGGCACGCGAGCTGATTTTCAGTGGCACTCACACTGCCCGGGTCCTGGCCACTGGTCCGGGGGGGGCTCTGCATTTTAATTTAATTTTAAATGAAGCTTCTTAAACATTTTAAAACCCTTATTTACTTTACATACAACAATAGTTTAGTTATATATTATAGACTTAGAGAAAGAGACCGTCTAAAAACATTAAAATGTATTACCGGTATGCAAAACCTTCAATTAGAGTGAATAAATGAAGACTCGGCACACCACTTCTGAAAGGTTGCCGACCCCTGATCTAGACCTTTATGCCAGATAAAAGGGCTGAAGCAGCATAAAGGGGTCCTAAAAGCTCCATATCCAGGCAGGCCTGAGAGGATTTACCTGGCGCACACGCTGCAGAAGGCAGTCTTAAGGTTATTCGAGTTTGAGCCTTCTCAAGCTCTAGGGTAGCATGTATGCCAGGGCCATGGCTGCAGCACATACAGCTGCAGAGGCAACATGTAACTGTTGATAATTGGGGAGGGGGAGCACAATTTAAAGGTTCGGGGGTGGGGGCACGTAACTGCCCCATGCGTCGCCTCTAGATCGAGAACAGAGGTTTTCAAACTGTGGGGCATGCCCCCTGGGGGGACGCGGAGAAACATTTGGCGGGGGGGGGGGGGGGACAGTGACCCCAGGTGACTCGAGCCAGCAATGCCAGATCGCTGGCCCGAGCCAAAGCTGTTGCTAAATGGAAGGCAGAAATCTAGGAGGGGAACACATGACCCAGCGTTCTCCCCCCAAAAACACCACTGCCTCTGGCTGCAGTGGTTCCAGGCAGTGCTGTAGCTTTTAATATAGCTCAGGGCTCTTAATATATGCCAGGCAGTGCTGTGGCCCTTAATATATGCCACAACTTAGACAGGGGCCCAAAACTGTCTATGTTACACCAGGGGATGCTACAGCCCTCAGAGCAGCCCAGGTCTGGGAAGGCACAGAGCTGACAAAGCCCCCTTAGTCCCGTTCCCCGTCCCCCAGTCACTGAGCTTAGAGTTCTGTACTGAGCCTCTCAAAGGGAGAGCACAGAATCTCTCCCTCGGATCTTATCATTCTTTCACTACATGGCTTTAGACGTTATTCATCATTCTTGATGTTATTCATCATCTGCGGAGGTGCAGAAAATTTTGGACTCCATCACAGAACTTTTATCTAAAAGATTAAAGCAGTTCTGTGCATTAGGCCAATATTTAAATTCTGATCCTTTCAAGAGAACTTAAAAAAATAAAGTAGTTTTGTATTTTTTTTAAATAAATAAAAAAAAGTTACAGTATTACTTGTAATTTAGGTGAAGAAATGTATTTACTTGCAGTATATGATAACGATGCTTCAACACCTTTATTTGGCAGGTACGACTCCTATTTTGCAGATGTGAAAACTGAGGCACAGAGACCTAAATTTTCAAAAGTGATTTTTGATGTCCAACTTGAGGCAAATTAAAGGGCGTTGAAGGCACTCAGCCCTGTTGGAAATCAATGCACATTACAGTGTTTAGAATTGGGCACCCAAAATCACTAATCATTTTCAAACTCTTAGGCCCAAATTTTTCAGTAATTTGAACAAAGTCACATAGCATTTCTGTAGCTGACTTGAGAACAGATCCTAAATAAGGAGTAATAGGAGCACCAAGCCCTAGATCATACTCCCTAAGTAGTGCAGAAAAGGAAATCCCTACTAATTCACCCCTAAAGGATATATTTAAAGTTACACACAACATGTTTCCCTAAATTACTTCCATCAAACCAATCAGTTCTAGTACAGTGTCTCTGTGGGCTATCTATGGTAGCCAGAAGGAAACATATTAAAGCTATCAAGAATATTCAGTCGGAAAAGCAAAATGAAAAGAAAAAAAAAATCAGGACTGCAGCCCCTGCAACCAGGCCCTCTCATTCTTCTTGTTCTATTCAGTTGTGAGCCAAACAAATCGCTGGAGGTGATTTCCAACAAACAATCCTGTAACAAAATGGCTACCCCCTTTAAGCAGCTAAAGACAATTAGTAATATGGGCAGGCTATTATTGGGAGGCATTTGGCAGACCTGAAGCATTCCTAGATCACGACTGCAATCTGAAGGAGTTAGACCAGTGGCTCTCAACGTTTCCAGACTACTGTACCCCATTCAGGAGTCTGATTTGTCTTGCATACCCCCAAGTTTCACTTCACTTAAAAACTACTTGCTTAGAAAAACAAACTTAAAAATACAAAAGTGTCACAGCACCCTATTACTGAAAAACTGCTTACTTTCTCATTACTACCATATAATTATAAAATAAATCAATTAGAATACAAATATTGTACTTACATTTCACTGTATAATATATAGAGCAGTATAAATAAGTCATTGTATGAAATTTTAATTTGTACTGACTGCGCTAGTGCTTTTTATGTAGTCTGTTGTAAAACTAGGCAAGTATCTAGATGAGTTGATGTACCCCCCAGAAGACTTCTGCATACCCACAGGGATATGCATACCCCTGGTTGAGAACCACTGAGTTAGACTAACTGATTATTTAAAGCCACAGAGGGTCCTGTGGCACCTTTAAGACTAACAGAAGTATTGGGAGCATAAGCTTTCGTGGGTAAGAACCTCACTTCTTCAGATGCAAGTCTTGCATCTGAAGAAGTGAGGTTCTTACCCACGAAAGCTTATGCTCC